AGCCAGCTATATCACACCGAACGACTTTCTAGTGATGATGCCCCAACTGTGCACCAAGTAATTTTTATGGATGACGTCCGCGCGCGCGCATTGATTTTGGCCTGTTCTCAGAAAAAAAAAAAAGAAATTGTAGGATAAGGGAAGTGACACTGAGAGACCAGAGGAGAAATGCAGGTTTATAGGCCCTAGTCTCTTAGTGTCACTGACAAAAGGTAGTGGATGCTACCTGAAATGTCTGACCGTTTTCAGAATCACATCCAGTTGCTCGAGTAACTGCTTTTTGGCGTATCTTACTACCTGGATATCTAACCTTCACCATCATATTAGGACTGGATGATTTTACAGTAACTATAGTTCATTATTATAGCACCATCTCAGCCCATTTAGCTTCTTCATATCCGTGATGCTTCAATTAATATTAATGCAGGCAGCATCACCCACCCTGTCTGCTGTCTGTGTCAGATCATTCTTTCACCATCAACCGACTCCGTTTGATCCTTCATTACTGTGATGTTATCCACAGTCATGATCATCAACTATTGCAATGTATGTTTCCCCATTTCATACATCTTAGCAACACAGATAAGTTCATATTTCTAATGGCTTTAGACACATCTTCGATTATAAAACACATCTGTAACTGTATATGTACATCATTACTAAGAAGTGAGAAGAAGCCAAATTATTGTAATTATTAGACTATATGTCCATAGTACATAGAATTAGCGCTAGGTTGTACATTGTATATATTCATTGCAAACTGTAAACAAACTGTGACGTCTTTCCTGTGACCTGCACTGATGATCCCAGTGGGTATTTGCGTACAATAAAGGTCTTCATTCATTCATTCATTATTATGATGGAGGTGATCACTAAGTGAGCTAACATTGTGTGTACTCTCCAAGCAGACGTTGATATATTCCTTTCTATATGTAATTATGCCCCGTTTTTGTTGGTGGGGGTAGCGACAGAAAATACGGGGCAGATATAGAAGGGGCAGGTTACGATCTTCCCCACCAACCTCTGCTTGGAGAGTAGCTGTATGTACAATCAGGGGAGAACAGAGCATCGGGTGAGAGACAAAGGAGAACAAGGTACATTTTTTTTATGTTTACCTTTGCAGAAAAAGTCAATGACCTGGACTAGACGTCTGTCACCATGGTAACTGGTGCTGTAGTGGACATCTAGTGGTGTTGGGTTACATTATGTAGCAAGGACGGGCTGGTCACCATGTATTATATATGAATGTGTCTGAGCAATAAACAAAGCTGTACTTTGGTAGTAGTACATGTGAGAGGTAAACATTATGTATTTGCTTTGCAAATATTACCTTTCTAGTTCACACACACGTGATGCCCCTCCCTTAGCTGCAGTTAGCCTCCAGCTGCAAGGGGGAGCAGTTTTCCTACAGTGAGGCAGTTTGATACTGTCTTGAAGCCACGAAAGGTCTGCTTGGAGATTAGTTTTCATCACATACAGTAAGAAGCTACAAAAGAAGAAAATTTGGGCCATCTTCTTTAAAACATAAAATTTTAGACTGTAAAATTGGTGAGACACAAGATGGAAAACATGATGTTTTGGCAGTCAGCTTGCAGTAGTATTGGAGCATGCGAATTTACAGACCGATTCTCAGTAATAAACAACATCTACCCGGTAATCACATTTTATTCTCTAGCTGTAAAAAAAATGTGAAGATGAGTGATCATCGATCAAGTCAATCTCCTGACGATAGCCAATAAACTGCTCACATGAACTAGTTTAGTCACAATTGACCATAAGGCCAAACCAATTAGATTTGTTGGTTCACTGATTTTTTTTTTTTTCAGAAAAAGCAACAGGGTAAAAAAATAAATAAAAACAGACTTAGGCATCCTATCATATCTCAAAATGCTATGATAGGAGCCATGAGGTCAATTCATTTCAAACTTTTAATCAAACCACTGCATTGATAGATGGAAAAACTGTAACACCTAGGAAGAAAAGGACTTTCCTCACCTGTTGGGGGCAAAATATGAGCATACATGTATTTGAGTTGTCAGAAAAGATATCCTCTGCAACAGGCAAAATTCTGCTGCACCGTTGACCGAAATTCGAACGAAAACCACGAAAAATCAGGTTTTGCGCAGGCGCAGCACGTTCTGCCGACGTGCTCCATGAATCAAGGTAGCAGGGTAACCATGTTGCGTCGAATAGCCCAGTGGTTAGGCTATCAGACCCGAGATCGAGAGGTCGTGGGTTCAATTCTCGGCACTCTTGGCTAGACGTTAGCCTCTACCAGGGTTCTGGAGGCGTCAGGGAAGAGCAGAAATTGGCCAAATACAGAGAGATAACTTGTCCACTAGAGAATACAGTTTTAGAGTGTGGCAAAATGTACTCTTCAGCGGACCAACTCCCTCGGCATGTTATCTCTCTATTTTGGCCAATTTCTACTCTTTCCAGTCACCTCCCAAAGCCTGGTAGAGGCTAGCTAGATGTTATGCCCTTGTGAAAGGCACTTTATACCACTTTCCTCACTCCTCCCAGGTGTAAAATGGGTACCTGACTTCGGTTGGGGAGGTAAAAGGCAGAGGAAGGAGAGGGATGGGCTCTGCCTTCCAATACTATGTCCTCAACACAGTATCAACAACCCACTGCCCCTACAGCCTGAAAAAAATGGTATGAGAGTACTGTACGACGTGTAACTTTAGTAAGCCATAAAAGATGAGACTATGAAAAACTTAAACTTTTCTCCAACTCAAAATTTGACTCACCAGAAACGGTGAGGGGGGCGATATCGACTTCAGACAACCTTTGACCCTTTGCTGACGTCACACGTGGGAAAAATCACGTGACCACAGCATTTGGGTCAGATAGCTGAGGAAGACTGAGTGATTCAGTCGAAAATTTCTGGTGAGTCAAATTTTGAGTTGGAGAAAAGTTTAAGTTTTTCATAATGTAATTTACCAACTCAGATGAACTTTCATAAAGATGAGACTAGTACACAAATCAAGTCTCATGGATTCCTTTACCAAGCAGCAGCAAATATATACAGCAGCAGTTACAGTTGTATACTGATTGTGCATGTTTTACTATTTCCACATTAATGTACTTGATAGCAGCTTTTTTATTGATAAATCCACATGCCAGTTTTAAAATATAATAAAGGACTTAATAATTTTCCTTCTTAACATAAAATATTAAAATACACCTCATGTCCTCAACCAATGTATCAGGAAATGTTGCCCATCAAACTTTGGAATATTTGGACAGGAAATCCTGTTTAGCAACACCAATAATTCTTAATTACCACTTTATGATATGTAATCATATAAGGCAACACCAATTTAATTTGTTGCTTCTCAGATTTTTTCAGAAAAAATCAGGAGCGTCAGGGCGTTGGAAAAAAAACAAACAGGCCAAGGCACCCCATGATAGCCGGAAATCTTACAATATGAGCCATGAAGTGAACATACCAGGCTGGTTTATAATTAAAACAATAGATTTTGAACTTTTAATGAAACAAAATTTGCATTGTTACATTGAAAAACTAGGCAGAAAAGGACTTTTTTCAACCATTGGGGCCAATATATGTCTTTAATTTTTTTTTTGCAAATCAGAAAAAAATGGACAGGGCAATCCGAGAAGCAACAAATTAAACTGGTGTGGCCTAAGGGTGAAAATAAAGCTATTTTACTTCTACTTCTGCATTGTGCAACATTTGCTATAATTCCTACCCGTATACAAACCAGCATCAATAGTGATAATTTCATTTATACTTCTTTCTGATTATCATATACTAGTACTTTTTTTCTCTCGATAATATTACCTTGGAACACCTTGATTTACAGAATCAAACTATTTTCAACTGCCTTATTGTTAAAAAAAAATTCGATCTGTAACGTTATCTATGTCTGTTCTGAATCCTTATCCAAGTGACTAAATGTTTACTACGATGATCGATGTTGCCTGTGTTTCATGCGATTTGTAACTCTCTTCTGCATGAGATTCCTACACTAACTTTACTCTATTCTTACATTTCATGCCTGTCGTATTCTGTATCTGTATTGGTATAGCCGGTAACGTTACATGTATATGAGTTATAGCTAACGGAATGGTTACATCTGATTCAGTTTTGCATCTTTCATGATGGTATTCATACTTAAAAAGTTTTCTACCTCTGGCAAGCCCATAATTTTTCACGGGTCTCTGTACTTTCTTTTGCTCTGCCTCAAGCCTGGGGCTTTTTGGGGTGTTGTGTGCTATTTGAGGGCCTGCATGGGGGGACTACAAATTACGCAAAATTTTCGCTGCCAATTACGATTTACGTTAAATTCTCAGAGCTGATTACTAACGGTTATATGTCTTACAGCTAATGTACTGCTTACGAATTACATTGATTTGGGGCGGCTGCCTACGGATTACGAAGACTAAAAAAGGCCTGATTACACCTTATGAAAAGGGGCATGCAGACCCTCGCTGTGTAGCCTCCTTTGCAGACTTGTAGGGCACGGCATCATTTTTTTTTTGGTGAGTGGCGCAAAGGGACGATTTTGCCGCCGAGAGATTTTTACCAGGGAAAGACGGTTTCGCTGCCCAACAAAACCGTCTCTCCCCGGCAGCAAAATCGTCTCTCCGTGACAAAACTCTCTCAGCGGCAAAATCGTCGCTTTGCACCGAAAAAAATAACGCAGTGCCTACAAGTCTGCAAAGGAGGCTACCAGCTGTGTGCTATTTGTGGAGGATGACGTGTTGGCAGGCGGAGGCTGTGTTTTGGGACTAGTGCTGTGTACCTAAACCCACATTTAGGTCCAGGTCCGGATTCAAGTCCAAAGGTATAGGTTCAGTGCCGGACCTAAACCCATGGCTAATATACAAAATTGCATGTTGGCAACCTTGCAATCTTGTTTTGGCAAAACTGTGGCCACATAACATGGAGGCCGACACTTGACGATGCCCGATGGCAATGTTTTCCTCATTTTGCTGCACAGATTTTGCAATCTATGGAAGGTTTCTGAATCAGATTTTTTTTTGTTTGTGTGTAATAAGTCTGGAATCGGTTCTTGACTTTTAGGTTTTTGGGACTTGAACCTAATACATTTTTGCAAGTCCGGGACTGGTACACAGCACTATTTTGGGACAGTCATTACTGTAGTTGTGTGCTATTTGTGGAGGATGAAGCGTTGGCAGGTGGAGGCTGTCATTAGTTTGATGCTGCCGGTGCGGTGACGGAGAAAATCACCCCTCTGTCACTCAGACGCTCCACGAGACTGGTGTCCTTGAAGGCTGTGCCGGGCGTCATCACCCCTCCCCTGAAAAATAACAATGGATAGTATATATACATTACATGTCACGTATTGCTATGTATAGCACAACTCCCCTGGAAAATAACAATGGATACATTTCATGTATTGTTACATGTCACACACATCCAATGCAACACAACAATACATGTATCATACTACACGTAGCACGGTGCACCCCTCCCCTGGAAAACAACAATTATCTGCACTCACACTCAACGCTTATCAAAATCCAGATGAACTCTAGTACGTGAGCTCCCACTACCCCGCTACGCTACATGTGATGACAATAGACAGATGACCTCTGGGTCAAGTGAGGTCAGGGGTCGTATTCCGTGCATCTAATTAATTTATTTGATCTGTCGCCCAAATAACTACAATGGACACATGTCATGTCTACATGTAGCACCCAACTATGGATACATGTCAAGAATTGTTACATGTACCACACATCCCCTGGAAAACAACAATGGATACATGTTATGTATTGCTAGATGTAGCACCCAACAATGGATACATGTCATGTATCATACTAGATGTGTAGCACACATCCAATGGAACACAATAATTTACATATCATGTATATTATGTGTGGCACACCGCCCTGGGAAACAACAATGGATACATGTCATGTATCACACCACATGTAGCACACATCCAATGCAACACAACAATGGACACATGTACATGTCAAGTCTACATGTAGCACCCAACAATGGACACATGTACATGTCAAGTCTACATGTAGCACCCAACAATGGACACATGTACATGTCAAGTCTACATGTAGCACCCAACAATGGATACATGTCATGTATCATACTAGATGTAGCACACATCCAAGGGAACACATCAATGGATACATGTACATGTCATGTATCATACTACATGTAGATGTAGCACTCATCCACTGCAACACAACAATTATATCATAGATACGTGTCAAATTGTCATGTATCAATATATGTCTGTCCTATCGATACATTTCAGACACCTGTCATCTTCTCTGTGCTGTCCTAATTCAGATAACATCTTCTCTCTGTAGTTACCTTCGCCAAGAAGGTTATGTTTTCAGAGGCGTTCGTGTACATGTATGTGTGTGCCCTTCCTTCCGTCCGTCCTTCCATCACGGGACACGATAACTTGAGAAGGTTTAAATGGATTGTCTCGAAACTTGGTAGGTGGGTAGGTCTTGATGAGACCTCAAAATGATGAGATTTTGGACCCCCTAGCGACTTGTTATGGTACTGCAGCTGAACTTCCGGTTTTGATATCTCATATGAGATCGGGGAACTCTAGTTTTATTTCAGGAAACTGCTATCTTTTCTGTGAGGTTATTTTTCTAGTCTCTACCAGACTAACCACGCTAGCTATATATAGGAGAATATTTGCCGGGGGAGTTAAGCCGCCTTGTAGGTTTGACTGGCTGCGCAGAGGGAAAGAAACTACCTCCCTGCGGCCGGTCTCCCTTGGCCCATTTTATTCTCTTTTTTGCCAAATTCTACTATCTGTATTCCCATAGAAAGGCCTGGTGGAGGCTTTTATTTTTCAGTCACCTACAATGTGCTATCTTCTCAATGTACTATCTTCTCATCTGTATCTGTATCGATATAGCCAGTATAACCGCCCTTCGGCGTACCACACCAGCTTCGCAGGCATGCGGCGTGGCGGCAGCTAGCTATATCACACCGAACGACTTGTTACACTCAATCTTTGCACATTTAATTGCAGGAGTTGTTTAAAGCTGTCTAGTGATGATGCCCCAACTGTGCTTGTTGGCAACGAGTTCCAGTCTACGATAATTTTGGGAAAATACGAGTTTTTGAATATTACCTCAATTCTTGGTTGATCACTCTGATATTTGAAGGCATGACTGTTTCTTGTCTGGGCTGGTATCAGATACTTAGTGGTTGGTACATCCACCAGTTTATTAGTCATTTTGTACATCATGTTCATCTGTATGTCCCAAGTCGTGAGCCGGGAGTGAGAACTGTGTAAATGACAAGCTGGCATTTCTTCAAAAGATCTCCACATGGTTCACAGACTTCTGCATTTATATATGTCACACAAATACCACTTCCATAGCTGCGTGGTCATATTGCACAGCACCGGCGGAGATGGTGACATTTGGAGAGGGTTGCGCATGGGGACACCCGCAGAAATGAGAGGACCAAGGAAGAAGCAATAAGGCCACACCAATTCAATTTCTTGGTTAACGGATTTTTCTAGAAAAATAATGGAGCGGGCGGGCGACAAAAAAAAAAAAAAACAGGCCTTGGCATCCTATTATGGCCCGAAATGGTACGTTAGGAGCCATGAAGTCAACACACCAGGCTGGTTCAAAATTTAAACAGTGAATTTTGAACTTTTAATGATACCATTGCATTGAAAGATGGAATGACTGTAACAACTAGGATGAAAAGCACTGTTTTCAACTGTTCGGGGCAAAATATGAGCATTTTGCAGTTGATTCTGAATTTTTATTTCATTTGCAAATCAGAAAAAAAATGAAGCGGGCGAATCCGTTAATCCGTTAACCAAGAAATTAAATTGGTGTGGCCTGATCATGTCACATTCCGTACCACCATTGCTGCAGTTGGAGCTCTATTATGACCTCTATCTACAAATGTCATATTCAGGCAGTATAAGTAAGGAGACAGACATATTTGCACCTTGATACTCTTCAGATGACAGTCTCCCTCTTCTGTCTTCACAACACATGTGGGACATTCCATGTTCTCTACTCTGGCATCTGCTGCACCTGACACCTGAACATCTACATCTGAACAGCAAAAACACAAGTCAACTTTAAAGATGCATTATGTAACATTTAATAGGACGATACAAAAAGTAAATTTCCTGGTCATTTATTTACAAAATAAGTTGAATCAACCCTACTCCATTGGAAAAATAAGTGCCATTTAGGAATTGAAGGTACCAAAATATGACACTTTACGAGTGTGCTCAAAAGCTGGTGTAACAATGTACATGTAAGAATGACTTTCGCCGGTTCTAACCCCTCCCTTGGGCGGGGCCGCGGCCA